TATGGCCAGTTAGCCCCTGTGAGGTGCAGCCGGGCACGAACAAATAGAGCGAGTAAGCTATTTCGGCACGGCATTGCATTATCTATTCACACAATTTGCAGCGCAGGATGTTCAGAGCCGTCAAGTGCCCACTAGCAAAGATAAAACACGGAAGCTGTATGTATGTATACATAGGCTGTTTTTTGGTGAAGAACAACATTCGAATCAGAACAACAACTGGTGGCCTGCGTTCGGAATTGTAATCCAAAAAAGCTTCTCAATAACACTTTCTCTCTTATCTCTTTTTTTTCCATCCCAGAAAAGAGAGGACAACCAGACAGATTCCAGACTCAGTCCTAAGAAGAGTGCAGAGCCCGCCATCGACCTGTTAGGCCTTGGTAAGACATGAATAATTGATTAATCATCTCATTGCCGATCAGAGAATCGGATACATCTAAGATAGGCTGGAAGAAAAAGAGACTTCAAGGTCATTTTAAGGCAAAATATTTCAATGGGAGGGAAATGGCGGAATGGAAGCGCTACTTTTCGCACCTAACGTGTGTCTAAGTATACAGGATTTTACACACAAATCAGTCCTAAAGAGAAAGCATTTCAAATGATTGTTCTTAGTTTTTAAGTGTTTAATTTTTCATTTGTTTACACAAATTAGTATCTTGTAACATTTAAAATGGCCTTTTGGCCTGTTTTTCCTAGTTCAGTGAGTACTGGAAGAACGGTTCCAAGACAATGTGTTGCTGTACACCAAAGTGACTTTTTTTTAAAGGGTGTGTTAAGGCTTGGATAGAGGAACACACTGACTGCTATTACTGTCTAGATGAAGGTTCATGGAAGCACACTGCTAGTTTAGTCCTGGCGGTATTGATCAGGCCGACAACTCGAGCCCTTGAGATGACCAAACACAATTGATGTTATATTACTTTCTGGGAAATGAAAGTTTCTATTTGCTGCCCTGGAGCTTTCCTTTGTCGCTCGGTCTTGTGTATTTATCACTTTCTCTCCCTCTCATTCAATATTTCTCACTCTCTCAATCTCGGTCTGCTACCAAGTTGTCCGTTATGATGAGTGAGAGAGACACAGAGTTGGTGAGAATATATAAATTTCCGCAAATGTGTGTGTCTGAGGCAAGGAGGTTACAGAGTTTAGATGAACGTCTTCAGCCGGGGGGCAGTAAGGGTCAGTGCTGATGAAGAGAGGCTGGAGATGATGGTGTTGAGATTGAGACATGCGTCTTATTGATGTGTTTTTGCTCAAGGCCTCAGCATCTGTCCTCACTCTTCCATACCATCTTCCATACCAGTAACAGGCTCCAGCACTGTTCAGACTAGCAAGATATCTATCTCTCTTTACATCAATGTTGTTACTTTAGGGCTGTTGATAAATAATTTATCAAATTACTTGCATTATATGCATATTTGCATTTAATCTAGGCTTAATTACATTTTTTGGGCATCTGTTTACAGCTGGTATTAACGCCTGGATTTTATTAAGGGAATTATTCATGACTGCATACTTAGGAATACATTTTGAATGGAACGCTTATTGTAATTTTAAGTGAGCACCTGTATTGTTTTTCAACATTGTGGATTATTTTGTCAGATCTTCCATTTAAACTACAGACTTCTCTTTGGTATTGATTGCTCCAATCATTTAGCTTGCTCAAACCCTGCCCCTTTCTTTCCATTGACTGCCAGCGCACATTCAACAGTTGATGGATAGAAGTCCCGTCGTGCTTTTTTTCTTTTTCGATAATCCATTTCAGTGAAATATTTGTCACAGTATGGAAGAAAATATCTCACTACTTCTGTTTCATCACAAATGTTAAGCCATTCCTAGTTCACAGTTAAAGTTTAAAACTTTTTTTTGTTGGCGCAGTGATTGCATTTGCAATTGTTCACATGCATTTCTTTCCCAAATGTGGAACACAAAATGTGTTGAACCTTGTTGTTGCAATGAACATTTGTGGTAATACCAAGTGTAAATGGGGCCTTCAGTGAATTTTATTTCAGCTCTATAATATAATATAAAGCTGGGTATTGGCAAGGGCCTCACGATACGATACATATCACGATTCATCATGTGACATTGAAAACTGGAGTTGGCTGATTAATATTTAGCTTTGCACCACAAAAAAAAAAAAAATCGATGTATTTTCATAAATAGAAGCCATTATTTTAAATTGTAATATTAGTTCACAATATTACAGTTTGTTCTGTATTTTTGATCAAATAAATGCAGGCTTCATGAGCATAAGAGACTTCTTTCAAAAACATTAAAAATAGTAATGTTTCCAAACTTTTGACCGGTACTGTGTGTGTGTGTGTATATATATATATATACAATGTTATTTATCTTATTTTAATCAATTCATCCATGCAAAGTTGCATTTTTAAATATTTTTTGAATCGTGTAATTTTTACCATAACTTGATCTGAAATTTTCTCTGGTTTCAAGTCAGACAATCATTTCATCTGCATAGATCCTGCCAATTTCTTATCAATTGCAAGTTCACATTCAGATCTGCCAATCATCCAATCAACAACCGATGGATAGAACCATATCCCCGCCCTACTTTTATATTTCCGATAATCCGTTACACACAGATGTATGCTAGAAAAAAAAAAGATGTAACTACTTTCATTACATTGCAACGTTGACATTACAAAACTGTTCGTCGAAAAAGACATGTCGCTCACCCTTTCCATGTTGACATCTGCCTAGATTGCCTACATTCTACGAAGTTAAAGAGTTTGTGCCAAAATACTGTAGTTTGATTGGACGCACGGCCCGTTCATTCTTTATATCTCTGGATGCTTAGTTGTTTTTTATTATTTGCATCTAGCATTATATTTCCTTGCTGTTCATGACGAGAATAGACCTGCGACCCACAACCAGATGAAGGCCACTGATTTAGACTCCACACATAAAGGTCTTTGAAATAGAGACCAGCGCTTTCCAGATGCTGCGCTCTTTTGCACATCTCTATACGTAGGTTCTCTAATTTACTCTTTCCTTTCTCCTTCCAGTCACACCCCCAGCTCATCAAGCATTGCATCTCTCCTTTTCCCCACACCCATTGCTATTCCCACCAGTTATATTACTTTGAGCTCTTTTATTTTCATGGATTTTATCAGTCATAAAGAGATGGCAGCAGCTCCTGACTCTCCGCACTGTAACATGTGAACACAGGCAGGGCTCTGATGGAGTCTTTGACTTTAATGCATTGAGAGAGTGCGTGTGAGCGGCAGGCTGGCGTCGGAGGCGAGCGGGTGCTTTTTCTCCAGCGTTGGCGGAGGCGTGTGCGAAGTGTGATTAGATTTCCTGCTCTCTTGGATGAAGTCGATAGGTAGCGGGAACGGGAAAAGCAAGCTGAGCAGGCGGTGTGGGCTGCTACCAGATGAACGCTTTTATTTCTCTCTACAGAGACAAAGACTCATGCAAGCAGGTTTAGCCTGGCATTGGTCATCACTGCTTAGTCAATGTGTCACACATGCGTCTAAATTATGTAAAGAGTCTGTACAGCTGCTGCGTCTCCGACATCTGACTCCAGCGGCTCAGAGAAGATAAATACAGTGTCCCCAAAAAGTTTTTGGACACTTAAATTCGCAAACAAAAGAAACTTAAAGTAACACTGTAGTTTTTCAACCTTCATAATATATTTCCAAGACCCTTGTGATGGTACATCGACATCGGTTAAATGACACGTCTGCCATAGCCTGACGTGGTCTGTATCGCTTTTACTTGCACTATGTAACTTCGGGTTTCGGGTAGTAACCGGAGCACAAAAAGAACTACAAAATTCGACTGCTTTAGTTTACGGCATACGTCACTTCCCCCACCACTACCTCAAATTGTCTGTGGCCATTGTTGATTCCCAAGCGTGCCGCACAAGCCCTCAAAAGTGAAGCCAAAACGTCTCGATCGCCCCCCGGTGACCGGTCCTAGTATAGGTCAGAAGCCCCGCCTCCCCATGTTATTCAACGGGACGTGAGACCAACTAAATAATTAAATTACACTTCACATATCTTTTTTCTAAAGATAGTTTCTGTCATTTACTGTAGTTTCTATCACGTTGATGTAATTTCAAGTGTTTGTTTTTAAAATAAGTTAGTTTTTAGTTAGTTATTTGATGCTATAAAAACGGTGCTGTGACATCATGATTGACAGCTGTGATTGACAGCTTCTCTGTGTGAAGTAGTCACTGAAGTACTAACGGACTTTTTTTCATAATGTTGACTATGTGGTTAGTAGTTGTATTTACCTTATTTTAACGAGGTACTGCAATCAGCAGACATCATTGGAGAGGAACGGAGCAGACAAGGCCACTTAAGAAAAGTGCGGGGCGTGTGCTAGCGATTGATTCCGCGAGAGTGAGGGCGGGGCCTTGATTTCGCGGCTTTACTTCCTGCTCACGACTGCGCATGACTGGTCCCGAAAACGCTACTGCGCAGACTCAAGTTCCAATATGTCAGCGCCATATCGGGACACTGGCGGCTTCAGTTCTCTCCGAGAACTGAGCGAAGGGGCGTCGTCCATCTTTTTTTACAGTCTATGGTTGATTCCAAAGCCGGTACTGGATAAACAGCGAGCGCGCGCGTGCGACAGTAGGCTGCGGTAGGCTAAATTATTTACGACAGCGGTAATGGACAATTCCGCTTCCAACCTGTAGGGCGACCGCAGAGGAAAAGTTCCTTGGTGTTGCTTTAATTTCTTAAAGATTTTTACTGAACAGAAATCTGAATTGGATAAAGCCAGGTTAAATTTTCTCATTTCGGTGACACTAGAGTTACAGATTTTTACACAGTGGAATTTGGATATCTCTTTTTATCTCTCTATAAATCATAAAATACTGACAATAGCCAGAAAAAAAAATCACCATGTTTTTAAGAATAAAATGCATAAATCAGGTGAATAATATATGAACAAACCCCACTGTAAAACGTTCCGAATATAGATAGGAATAAAACTGGAACATTGTTCTTGTAAGTGTTACTGAAGTGGAGATTACTAATGAGAAAAAAACTCATTTTGAGGAAACGGCCTTTAAAGATGCGTATCGTACTTGAAAACTACAGAAGCGAACAGATAAAGCATAATAGTCTGAAAGAAGGACATGTTATGGAAGCAAAATAGCCCTAAATCTCAAAATTGACAAGTGGATGAATAAAAATAATGGTTTTGCCTATGTCTTGCCTTAAAACCTACCAAAAGTTAATTTTCCTTAAAGTGTGCTTTTTCAGTGGTCTTTGGCAGAGTTTTTTAATGCAATCACATATGTACATATTTATGCGGCTTTGTGGCCACTGTATTTCTCCAACTTTGGTGTGAAACCAATTAAAAATACACAGTGACTGTTACTCTGTGTAATGCAGTATACACTTTTCCCTTGTATGTAATGACATTTTGGTTCTCTCTCATTCAGATGCACCCACAGCTAGCTCTGTCAGCAGTGGGGCAGGAACAGGCAGTGCAGTTCCAATCAGTGATGACTTGGACATCTTTGGACCAATGGTATCCAACCCTCTGCCCTCAAACACCAACACAAACCAGGTACACGAGTCCACTAATGCAAACATCAGTTGCCAATTACGCGCATGTGTTTGTGTGCGTACGCGCGCACTGAAACTCAAGATACCTCCTCTTTCCTGTTGTCATGTCTGTCATTCTATTTTCTCAGTGCTGGTGCCTGGTTAGTTGACAAGCATTGGCTGCAGTGTCCTTTTTTAAATTTTAATATACCAACCATATTAGAGAAACTACACTACCATTCAAAAGGGTTTTTTTTAAAAGAAAAATACCTTTATTCAGCAAGGATGCGTTAACTTGATCAAAAGTGACACATTTGTTTAAAATATAGTTATTCTTTTGAACTTTCTATTCATCACAGAATCCTGTAAAAAACACAAAAATAGCAGCACGACTGTTTTCAACATTGATGAACATTGAACCTCAAATCAGCATATTAGAATGATTTCTGAAGGATCATGTCACACTGAAGACTGGAATAATGACTGATGAAAATTCAGCTTTGTCATCACAGGGAATAAATGACATTTTAAATTAAAATAATTTTTAAATTGTAATAATATTTTACAATATGTCTGTTTTTACTGTATTTTTTTATCAAATGATTGCAGCCTTGGTCAGTATAAGAGACTTATTTTAAAAAACAGTATAAAAAAAAAAAGTTTACCAACCTTAAACTTTTGAACGGTAGTGTACATCATTTTTTAGTTCTACATTGTGACAAATTATTCTGCAAATGTTTCTTTACAATGTTTTAAAAAATAAATTGTGACCAGCACCTAAAATATTCATTTGTGTTATATATTCATATAAATTTGAACCTTAAATCATGATATTAAATACAAAAACTAATCGTCAGTGCTATGTCAACTCTTTCGGTGTATTTGGTAATTTGTCATGGCATTAGGTGCCTAAAGCTGCTGGTCTATGAAGGTCTTACATTTACATTTATTCATTTAGCTGACGCTTTTATCCAAAGCGACTTACAATTGCTATATATGTCAGAGGTCGCACGCCTCTGGAGCAACTAGGGGTTAAGTGTCTTGCTCAGGGACACATTGGTGTCTCACAGTGGATTCGATCCCGGGTCTCTCACACCAAAGGCATGTGTCTTATCCACTGCGCCATCACCACCCCTAGCACCCCTAGGTCTTGGTTAATCTGACCTTTATGGACCAGCACGCCTCATGTAAGGGAAAGGAGGTACAATGTTTTCTTTTAAAAGAAGCTTTTTTCCTGGGTTACAAACATGCATCTGTTTCTGCCTGCCTTCATTCAGTCTAAAATCAACTGACTAAGAGAGACAAAGAAAAGGTCAAACCCAATTGTTTTAATTTTCTCCGCAAACAACATGATTACATTTTGCCTGCCTAGTTTTGGCTGACAGAATTGATTTGCAAGGTCTTCCTGGCTAAAGGATACAGCATGAATAATGAGGGATATTAGCATTTATTACAGCCCTTCACTGAGGAGAGTGAAGAGGAGAGATGTTTAATAATGTCAAGAGAAGAGAGTGGGGGGAAAAAAGAAAATCATGTTGAGAGGAGAGGGAGAGAGTTGGTAAATGCATGTCAGAGATGGACAATATGTCTGTTCCTTATTGGTTCAAGATTTGTTTTTTGTTTTCAACTGATATTGTGTATTTAATTGTGCATGCCCACTTCCCTTATTTTTACATTTGAATGACCTTTGGCTAGTTTGGCATTATCTAATGCTCACTTAATACACACTAATGATTTAATAACACTGTTAAATGTAGTCTTTAGAAGTTCACAGAATGAATATCCATTTTAATGTGCCTGAATTCACTTGTTGCAATGAAAACGTAGTTTTTTTAGTGTGTAATTTTTTCTTTATTTAGAAAAAATTGTTCGAATTTTACAGCTGGCCATTTGTCCAGTATGGGCCATGCTTTTTTAATGATATGTTAATAATAATAAAACAGAATAATAGAATAATAATCAACATTTATATTCAGGGACAACAAGTATCTTATTTTTTGTTTGATGGAGGGCGGTAAGGATCCTGGATAAAGTTAAGGTGGATGCTGGTCCAAAAAACACTGAAAACCACTGATTAACACACCATACCCAATCAGGACGCTGGAGGATCCCAGCATGAATAGCAATTTGTCTTTGTGGAAGCTCGTCTTCACCCCTGAGATCCACTCTCACTAACCCCACATTGTCCTTTCTCCCTTAGTCAGGGTTGCGCCATATTTAATTTTGGACAGGAATAAAAAGCGAGGCTTTTAGGGAGAAAAGTACACTATGTTCAAAGGATTGTAATGTTGTTTAACAACATACCGATTGTTCAGCTGAAAAATACATGTGATCTATCAGCTTTATAGAGCATATGCTAGCCTCGTTTTCATCTGTTAAATTCAATATGGTGTCTACCCTGACTAAGGTCTATTCCCTTCCTCCTTTCACACTTGTTTTGGCCGTCTTTTTCGGAATGGCTTGAGGACGATTCTCTTGTTTTTGATCTCGGAAGCCTGAAGCTGTGCTGAAGTCAGACAGACTCTGTGTGTAGAGCCGCTGGACTGACTTGGGACTCCTTGCCCTCCTGCTCTTCTTTGGCCAAGCAGAAATCAGCCCTTCCTACACAATGTACATTCATACATGCATTCTCATGGGATACTAATAAAGGATAAAAAGGAGCTAAAGATAGATCACTTGAGAATAGTAAGCGAATGCTCAGGCTTTCACAAAGCCTTCGGTCTCAACAGCATGCTGTCAATCTCTGCTCTTATTCTCCAGATGAATCGAGCGGCGGTGGGTGTCTGATGAGGGAGGATGGCAGCATTATGCCTTGATTCCTGTTTGTTGTGTCTTTTAGAGTCTTTGTGTGGAAGATGTGTCTGAAAGAGCCGCACACTAGCTCTTTAAAGGATTTGGAGGCATTTCGCATATCTGAAGATGGCACTTATAGAAATTGGATTGCTTGTGTATGAATGAGGATTTGTTTTTCCCCAAACAGTAATTTTTGGAAGCAAGAGCGCCTGCAGGAAGTGCAACGAGAAGCCTGACCTCGTCTCCATATCAGTGTTGTTATTGTTAAAGTCAGCATTAAAGATTACAAGGGAGCATAGATGTAAAGTAATAATAGTAATAATAATATTAATAATAATGGAGTGCATGGAGGATTCATTTATGATGAATACTGCATTATTCAATTTTAAAAAAAAGGTCAAATTTGATGTCATGTTGACTAACTAAAACTAAACTTTTCATTAATTTAAAACATTTCATTAATTGAAATGCATGTGAAATGAAATAAAGTATAAACATTAGATGGAAAAATTAGAAAGGTTGCAACTAACTGAGGTACTAAGTTAAAGTACTAAAATGACTAAAACTATAATTAAGTTAAAGCTATTTAGCTTTATACAGACATAAAAAACACTAATACAAATGACAAAACTAAAGCAAAATTGCAAAAACTTAAACCAAAATTAAAATGAATAGTAAAAAATATAAAAAGGAAAAAAAAACTAATTCAAAATACTGTAACAAATACTGTAATAGTATATAAATAAACACTGCTCTATGACCCCAACAAAAACCACCATTCACATATACACCGACAGGGTATTATGTTTTGACCCTCACGCACCCCTTTTTTTCTCTCATTCCTTTTGTGGAGTGTGCACAAAATGGAAATCAGTTTAACACCCAGAATAACACAGCAATAATGAGACCAATAAGAATGCAATTGGTACACTGCAGACGTCACTGTTTGGAAAAGAACAACAAAAGTGGAGAGTGGGAAATGATTGTGAGACGATGAGGGAATGCATGTTGACTTTTCTTTTTCCCTGCCCCGATACCAAGCAGCATGTGGAAACAAGCAGCCGACAGGCAGGAGATTTCTGAGATTGGCATTACGGCCTGAATCAAGGCACTCCCAGTTCTTCTTAAGCCTAAGGGAAGAGGAAGATGCTTGAGAGACTGTTGGAGCCTTTGATGAGAAACCGCCAGGCTTCTGTATTCTCCATTCCTTCAGCCGGTGCATGTTAATCTGTCCTCACACTTCCTCTTTTCACATCTCATCTACTGCCAGCTTTTATATCACCCCCTGAGACATACACACGCAGTCTCCTCCACAGACCCCCCCCCCCCCCCCCCCCCCCCTCCCTGCAGCTTCTGTGTGATTGCATTGCACAACTGCTAGCCAGTTTTGGTATCCCATGATGCTCCGTTAGCAAGAAATCCCTCCCCGTTATTGACATCCTGACCAGCCTGTTTCTCTGCATCTCCCTAATCAAGCTGTCTGCGCACATAAGGGCTGTGAGGATATCAACATCAACATTTTGTGAGTGTTGTGGAGGCAAAACATCCCTGCTCGTATGCATCATGATCATTCGCTGTTTGCATATTAAACACATGATGTTTGTCACTGTTGTTTGGAGTTTGCCAAACTGAGGTGTTTACATGTGACTTTTGATGCGGGTTATGTCAGGTGTGTACCATGAGCTAGAGATATAAAACTTCTAGCAAATACCGGTAATCATGGTAGTTATGTCCGATAACTGATATTAAATTTAGCCGGTTTTAAGATCACATACTATTTTTTTAATCAAGGCTTCACTACATTAATGTACAGTATGAAAAATGTATATTCTTTTTGAGATTTGCTTAAGATTAACTTTAATTGAGTGTTCATGGTCATTTGCACCATTTTTACATTTTTAGATGGCCATTTCCATCATCTAACAATTTCATTTCCAAAATTGAACAGATACTGATAAAGAAAAAAATCTCTACACCTGAAAAAGTTGTAGGATTTACTTTGAAACAGTTTTCACTCAGAAATTGTTAGTAAAATTCACTAATATCTACAAAGAAATGGCAAGTAACACATTTAATTAACCATGAATTTTTGAAGTAGAAAAAGTTTTCTTGTAAAACTTACTGCAATAATTATGAATTATAAAAATAGATTTTATCATTTTTACAGTGTACTGTATATGCTGTTAACTAATATGGTACCATATGTCTCTACCGTGACATGATTTGACC